AGAGAGAGAGAGAGAGAGAGAGAGAGAGAGAGAGAGAGAGAGAGAGAATATAATTCCCTTGATTTTCAGTTACAGAATTGGCAATCTTCTGTCCAAATTAGACCTTAGGTGAGGCCAACACACTGTAATCTTTTCACAGAACAACATTGATGTAGCTAAACTTTGAATATATTATAATTTTCCTATGGCTCTTCTGTTCTTGTTCTATGATGTTATATTTTGCTGTAAGCCATTCTATTATCAGCCTACATGTATTTTACTTTTTACATGGGGAAATGCTAAATTTTAGCCCAGTATATCATCTCAGCCATTAGGCAAGAAGAATAAAGGACAAAAAAGTGTTGTTGTTTTTTTTGAAGTGCTATAATGGATCTTTCTTTCTTTTAAGAGGGAAAGCAATGACATTCTTGCCAGATAGTAATAAAAAAAGAAGAATATCCTGTCTCTGCTCTTTATATTAAAGATCTATTAGACTGTAGCATTAAGTGTCCCATAATCATTCAGTGTAAGTCTCGCTATTGAACTGTGAAGTGCAATAAATTAAGAGAGGGCAGATGTCACATTTATAGAAGCTATTACATGTATGTGTATGTAGTGACCCTCTTAAGATCCATTAAAGAGTCTGGTTATCCAAGTTGACAATGATAATGATTGGTTGTTGTATTATATATCAAGATAATATATTGATATTAATCATTAATTAATACTGTTTTTGGAATTATGAAGTAATTAAGAGTGAGAAATCCTTACCAATTTGTCACAAAACAACCAGAGAAGTACTGACTGTTGGGTTGAATCATGGCATGCTATTTTAGTTCAACTGAAAGATACAAACTGCATTAGCTCTTCAGCCCATTAGATCAGAAATAATTTAAAAAGAGATGGAGAAAAAACAATCTATAGAGTGTAAAAGAATTATGTTAGTTTCTTGAAACACTAAAGAAAGAGATTTTTTTAAGTTAATGATTTGCATATGTATAATACAGTATAATAAAATAGGCAAATAGAAATAAATTCTAATGGCTTCCGGTTTGAAGTTTCTTCGGCAACAGACAGAAATCCGCGATCGTGCGCGGTTTCGGTCTGGGCTCGCCACTGGAGCGCCCCAAGCCGGCTGGTTTCGGGCCTAAGCCACCCCGTAGAGGTGGTGAAGAGGGGGGAAACTGCGAGCAGGGTTGAGGAGAGCCGCATCTCTCCTCCTCAGCTGGCCATTACTCCCTTTCCCAAAGGCGGTTGCAGCGGTGGTCAGAAATGGCCACCTCAAAGAAGAACTCGACCGGAAAAGAATGTGCAGGAGGAAGATAAGAAGTGAAAGTTTTGGCTGACCGGGTTAAATTGTAAAAGCAACAACTAAGGTACCCTGGAATTTAAACTTACAAAAAAATAACATCGCTCCCAAAGAAGAGTTGGAAGCAGCGAAGGAAAGTGAAAAGGGAAAGGTTTGGGGTTTTTTTCTTCTCTCCCCTTCCCTATACTGACAACTAAGAGACTTAAATAAGAAATCGGAAAAATCCGCTTTGACATCAACAGGCAATTAAGCTGAAAATAAAACAAAATGTCAAAGGGATAATAAAGATTTCTGGACACTAAATTTTTTTTTTCATAAGCAGGAAGGGAGAGAAAAAGAATAAGGGCAGGATCTGGAAAGAGGGAGGAGACTGCCTGGAATTAAAAAGAATCTACAGTAAAACTTCAACAATACTTCTAAAACATACATTTTAACTGAAACTTTGTAACTAAACAGTAACCCCAGGAAGAGAAAGTGAAAAAAAGAGCAAAAAGAAACAGCTTGGGTGTATTTGGATTATTTGGTGATCTTTGGATTCTTGGTAATTACATTTGAATGACTAAAATTAATCGGGTGGTTGTTTAAAAATTTATACAATGGCACTACTTCTGGATGAATTGAAAATGGAACTTAAAAAGTACAAAGAAGATGCACAAGAAGGGAAGGGTTCTTTTGGCTTCGTTTTTCAATTCTTAGAAATGGAGATTTGGAATTAAGAGAAACAAGAAACGTCTGCAAAACAAGAAGACTGGGACAAAGAAGAAGCCATCTTTAATGAACAAGTAATTTTATGTGGGGAAGAAAAAGGAAAGGGGGGAAAGAGAATGGAGAATTTAAGACTTAAAAAAACAACCAAAGAAAAGAAAAATAATTCAAAAAATAAGTATAATACTGGAAAGCAACAGAAGAGGGGAATACAGAAGAGAGAAATAGAGGTAGAGAGACAAGGAGGTAAAAAGGGGAGAGAGAAGAAGAGAGGGAAGAAGGAAAGGAAAAGAAGTTACAAAGGACCAAGATATAGAGAAACAGGACCTATTTAGAGATAATGGGTGAAAAGTTAACTGAAAAAGGGATTCTGTAAAGGTACATAAGATTGTATTGTTATATTAGTAATAGAAATAACTTTAGAAAATTGGAAACAATGTATGATTAAAATGAGGGATAAAATAGTTAGTGTAATTTAGTGAAATGTTTGTGAATAAAATAAGTGAAATAAAATAAATGAGAAAATTGAACTAGGAAAGAATGGGAACATCTTAATTAGTTAATGATTATAAAATATAAGTGAAGAGAGGGGGATTAATTATGGAAAGCTTATAATTGTTCCCATAGAAGTATGATATTTAATTGAAAAGTAATGTTAAAGAAGTTACAATTTTAATGAATATTAATATTAATGATAGAATTGAATTAGAATGGAATGTGTTGTTTTAATTACATACATTTATAACTTTTTCTTTGTTTAAGAATATAGTGTGTATTTTAAGAATGTACCAAGCAGAATCCGAATGGAAGTTATGTATTATATTGAATGTTATAACTTTAGGGTATATATTGAAGCCTAAATAAGAGTTAAATGGATAAACTTAAAAGATATAAAGGCGTCATACTCCAATCAGTAACTACAGGAGAAATTTTGTTTAATGAGAAAAGATAATAGATAATTGAAACAGGACAGACAAAAAATATAAATATAATGATTTGAATTGAGATGAGATAATTATGAGATAATTAAAATAAAATTGAGAAAATTAAAAGAGGGGAGAAGCTATGTAGAAAATGTAAAACAGTAATAAGATATGGAATAGAACATAAAAATGAGCATGAAGTTGAATTTGTGTCTGTACGAAGAAATGTAACCCGGGATTACGCTACTTTCAAAAAAGATGTTTTATTTGTATTTTTTTTGTGAAAACTCAAATAAAATTTACACAAAAAAAATAAATAAATTCTAACTAAAATGTATAAAACTAAGCCACATGCCTGGGTTTCTAATTCTGTAAAAGACTTTTAATCTACAAAAATGAGCAGAACATAAAATCTGTTAAACCTATCTACAAGACTAAATCAATCAAACTTTTAAAGGAAATCAGTTCTCTTATACTGTATATTGGAACTAACATTTATGTCACAATACAATAAAATATTGTGCATAATTCATAAAATCTG